TTATACATGGTTCACCCTCACAAATAAAGTTACGTCCACGGATGATGATGATTCGTGTCACTATAAAGAAGAATATTACAAACTAAAGAACGTTTTGGTTCTTCCCCACAATAATCTCTCTTCTCACACCACTCACTCGCCAACAAAGAAGACTCACACAACACTCGATCTCAAGAAGTACCCCACATGGTATATGGTTTACACAAAAAGAAAAACCCACCCAAATACAAGTTTTAAGTGTTACTTGAAAATTGCACACACAAAAGGATTTTCTCACACACACAAAACCAATATACTCTCTTAATCTGAATTCTCTTACTCTTAGATGCCTCTTGGATGCTTTTAATCAAATTAGTGCAAGGCTATTTATAGCCAAAAAAATATTTGGTGTCCAGGTATATTACAAAGCTTCCTTTGGAAGCCAAATGGAACTTGCAGCCCAAGAATAATTCTTATTGTCCAAGAATTTCAAAGCATCCTTTGGAAGCTAATTTGGAAGCTTCCATCACACTTCTGTAGCCAATAGATTTTTGCCAAGTCATAAATGAATTTTAGACAATTTTTTAACAAATTGACTCCGAATTGAATCTCTTTTCGTGTTTTGCACATACTTCTCCAAAACTTCCCTTTAACCACCTTAGATCAAATAGATCCACATGGTAAAACACGGGCAGAATCATATAACCAACATTCTTCTTGCGTTCAAGAATTTTTAGAAGTTCATCAAGGCACCATGTTGAAAAAGCATAGTCTTCTGAGAAGACAATCATTGAAATCATTGACTCTTCAATTGCCTTTATCAGTTTTGAAGAGATATCATCTCCTCTCCCAAGTTAATCAGCATCCCTAAACGTGCGTATTCTTGCATGTAGCAGAGCTTTATAAAGATGATCAATAAAGGTCTTCCAAGTATCTTTACCTCTGAAACTCAAGAAAACATGATAATAACACTAAGTTGAGGAGGCTTGTTGGGATCCTATAGCAGCCATCAAAGATCCAAATTCCAGTACAGATAATTGATCACTTTCACATCTTGTCCGAAAACATTAACCCATGTATTTATACTATCAATTACATATATTTAAGCTATTATATTAAGCCAAGATTTCTTGGGAGCTTAAAATATAGTATTATTTGTTAAAATATATTAATAGCGACTAGGCAACCATAACCAAATGTAAAAAGTTCAAATCAAACAAGAGAAACATCTTTCAATCACTACTTCGATGGATACATACTTATATTTTTAGGGAGCCTTTAACCACTCTTTTAACTTATACACACTTATTTAACAACTAATCCATAATATATATACCAACGGGCCAATGGTCTAGCGGTATCAGCCTCTTACCTTCAAAAGGGAAGTCAAAGGTTCAAGTCTCAAAAGAGATAAGTGTGTGTGAAGTGTGAGTACCAACTAGGAAAAAAAAAAATCCATAATATATATTAAAGATTATTTTAAACCATGATTCATTATGGACCAACATTAAACAGGGTAAAGTCTTCCCGGCAATTTCTTATGTATTGTGTCAACTTTATTTATTTAGGGAGGTGATATTAACATTCTATAAGCTTTCTCCAGCACTATAACTTCTTATTTTAATAAACAAAATGATTAAATTGCCCTTCTGTCCTTGTATTGTGGTCTATTCTTTTCTCTTCTCTCATTTTTATCTTGTAACTCTCTTCCTTTATTTTACAATCCTATTTATACAAGAATCTAATCCAACTGGGTATGACCAAACACTCAACACTGTGGGATTCAATTTGTTGCCAACATTTTTTACGATCTCCTGAATAAAATTTGACTCATACGGTCATACCTACATATTGCAAGGGAATAGGAAAGTTGGTAAAAGAATAAAAGGAAAGCGAACATGTTGTGAGTTGAAACGAATGAATAAGTTACATGAAAATGCAAACAAAACATAGTAAATTCCATGTTGTTTGGTTTAGCCATGACCACGTAAATATATTGATACAGAATTTTGATTATTGTGTAATCTTTTTTTTTTTTCTTTCCCTGATGAAGAGAAGAATGAATCTCATTAATCCAAAACAAAGTTAATTAAAAATATTAAATTCTAATATGATTAAAAATAATAATAATAAAAATAAAAAAACCACTTGAGTCCCACAATTGTGTACATTTTGCATTAGTTTATTTACACAAAAACAACTTTAACCAAGCCTTTCCCCAATTATTTGGGGTCGGCTACATGAATACTATGTTTTCATTCCACTCTATTTTAGGTCATAGCCTCAATCAATCCATACGCTTGTAATGTTTATAAATTGTGTATATATATATATATATATATATATATATATATATATATATATATATATATATATATTAAAAGAATTAATTTAAGCTGTGGGACCCACAAAAATATTTTAAGAATTATAAAGGCGATAAGGCCATTACACAGGCAGATTGTTTCTCTCTCTTCTTTCTCATTTTTCTTTTTCTTTTCCTACAAATTTCTAAGCTTAATCCCTCTTTTATCTTTGAGAATTTGGTAGAACCTTGTGAAGTAAAGTTGGAAAGCTTGTCAAGGCCGTCGATTTGATAGAAGCCAATCACCATGTGGCCAAGCCTAGGGATTTCAAATTTAGGGCTCAAATTGGGGTTTTTTTCTCTCATTTGAGGTAGGGGATTTCTAAGGCATAAATTCTTTGATTTTTATGAATTACTTCTCAATTCTTGTTGAATAGCATGTTTAATTTGTGACAATTTTATGAAATATAAATTTTCAATGTTGTAGGTGATATGTATGTGTTGGATTTTGTTGATATGATGTGAAAAAACATGCCTAAGTAAATTGTTCAATGTTTCATATGCCTAATGTGCCAAATACTTGTTATTAAAAAGCATGATATGATTTTTATTAGAATTTATTATTATTATTATTATTTAAGCATGTTATATGATTAAGGTTTGAATGTGATACATGAGAATGTATAATTGACACGGCATCGAAAGGCATGATTTTTTTCTCATTTCACGGCATTGTAATATATGGACATTCACGCATGGCATCGGGAAAGAAAATGGGAAAGATTTTTTGGAAAGAAAGGAAAGAGAATGATTTTTTTTGAAAAATGCTTTGATAAATGATTTTGTGAAAACCCGGACGCCTAGGAGGCGCCTAGTGGTCCGTGGTATTAATGTGATTTAGAGGGAAATAGAGAGAGACTCTAGTGTGGTTGAGCTACCTAGGCCGAGACGACGCCATGGAGGTGCCATGTGGTCGAGGATTGCTAGCTAACCCTTTCCTCATGACGCCATAGAGGTGCTATGGGTCAGGTTGCATTAACAGTTTGGAACGGTGAAACGAAATTTGTTTTGGGAATTGGGGAGAGACATTATATGACATTGTATCCTATAACATGACATGTCTTATTTGTGACTTGGATTATTGCTATTGATATTATGATTGTATTTCTCCCGGAATTGGCATGATTCCGTCTACTTTTTTTCTATTCTTTGCGTAGATTCACGGGGTCATAAGAAATGTGTCTTAGATACTTCCTACTGAGCTTATGCTCACCCCATTATTTTTTTTAACCATTTTCAGGACACAAAAAAGAGGTGGCGGATGACGATCCACCACAAGTTTAGACGAGCCTGGATATCTATTTTATTTTGCTATCTTTTATATTAGAACTCTAATATTTTGTAAATGTAATCTTAACTATTTTGTGAAACTTTATTGGTATAATGTTGTAAGATATGGACTTTTAAATTTTAGCTACATTTTACGGATTGTAACTTGACGTAACTAAGGTGTGTTCCTTGTTTGGATGAGATGGAGGAAGGGGACTTTTTATATGTATGTAATCATTTGGGGAATGTGATATAATATTTGTATTGTGCGTTGGGATAGGATAGATTAGTTTTAAGCCCAATGAGACCATTGCATTTTTATGTATTTCAACAGGTTGTAGAGGAACTTTTTTTGTTGAGGTCATGCCGAAATTCTATATATTTTATTATTATTATTTTGGTATCTTTTAAGGTCGTTACAAATTTGGTATCAGAGCAATGGTTCGAATACCATTAGGATGGAGGGTAGAGGCCTACCTAGGATTGCTTGGGGAGTTGAGTTATTTGTTTACTTACTTAATTGCTTACATGATTACATACTTATATGCTTATGTGTTAAGGTGTTTAATTATTTGAAAGACATGCTTAATTGTTTAACTGCTTATATGATTACGTGCTAAGTGCTTAGTGTTATTGTATATTATTAGCATGATCATGTTTATCATTAGTTGGGTATTCTGGGAGTATGGAAGGTGTTTATGTGTTTCCATTCTTGTCAAGTCATTTGTGTAAGGACTCCATTCTCGTGCGTATTTTAGTGTCATCATTTTTTATCCGTTTCCTTTTTCTTATAGCATCATGCCACCATAAAGGGATCCCGGGGAAAGTTCTAACTCCAATCCCGTGGAAAGGTATCAGGAGCAAGTTGAAGAAGATATCTTGTTACGTGATTTGGTCCCACCAAGAAGGGGACAAGCTAGGGGGACCGTTGATCCACCTCTTCAGATAAATGAGGAGCAGTTGAAGTTGGCCATTCAGGTAGCTCTTTTCGATGCATTTCGGCTGGCAGGAGCATCATCGTCATAGGTTGTGCCACCACCGGCACCACCACCACCACCTCCAAAGACAAATGAGTCAGATGATACTCTTTACCACATTGCAAAGTTTGTGAAATTGATGCCAACTCTATTTGAGGGTCATCCAAATCCGCTTGTTGCGGATAGTTTCACGGATAGAGTGGAAAAGTATCTCAATGCCATGAATTTGGCGATGGACAAGTTAAAGATCACTTTGGCAACTTATAACATTGTTGGGGATGCTGAGATTTGGTGGAAGACCGTTTTTCACACCCACAATCTGGACACAATGACCTATGATACATTCAAGAAGTTGTACTATGAAAGAGTTTGATGGGTTGAAAAAAGAGTTTGATGGGTTGAAGCAAGGAAATATGACCATCACTGAGTATGAAAACAAGTTCACGTCACTATTGAGGTTTGCACTAGGGATTTCCAATGATGAGAAAGGAAAGATAGAAAAGTTTATTGATGGCCTTGATCTTACTATCAGACCAATTGTAGCTGCCTCAGAACCGATAGAGTATGTAAAAGCAGTGCGAAAGGCCTTAGTAGTTGAGGCCGAAAGTAAGGACAGTAAAGCTATCAGAGAGTCTTATAATCACAGCAGGAACATGAGTACTATCTTCAAGGGTCAATCAAGTAAGAAGCAGAAGAATGAACAGTCAAGGTTCAAGGGATATCAGTCAGCCAGATCCACACCGACAGCTTCAGTATCTATTGGGTCTTTTAGACCGAATGTTACTTGTTTCAAATGCGGGAAGCCGGGACATTTCAAGTCCCAGTGCACTCAGACTCAGTTGACTTACTTCAGATGTGGGCAGTTGGGGCACTACAAGAACTAGTGCACTCAGATTTAAGTAGTGTCAGGTGGATGTTTTGGGTATGGCCAGGAGGGCCATAGGGTAAGGGATTGTCCACAGCGGGGCAACGGTTCAGACAAGGGTGGAGGTCCATAGCAGAGACAGATGCAGTTTACCACAGTTCAGTCAGGGTTTTAACCGCCACTACTGCCTCAGCCATCTCAGCCAGCTGTGACAGCACAGAGTTCTCGTCCGAGCAGAAGGACTTCTTCGAGTACACCCACTCAGCAGTCGGGTTATCAGACAGGTGGTTCTCAGGGGTAGAGGACTCAGTGTCATGTGTTTGCACTCACTCCATCCAAGCCATTATCCAGTCCTTTAGTTGTCAGGGGTATATTTCTTGTGTCCCATTCTTGGGCTCGTGTATTGTTTGATTCTGGTGCTTCCTATTCATTCATTACTTCATCATTTACACAGGCATTGGGATTGGAGGTCAGTCAGTTAGACAGATCGCTTTGTGTTGACACGCCTATTAGGGGCTCAGTCACTCTTGGTAGAGTTTGTCGGGGTTGTTCCATTACCATTGCCGGACGGGTACTGGAGTTCGATCTCATCCTTCTCGAGATGATAGGATTTGATGTCATTCTTGGGATGGACTGGCTCTCATCCTTTAGAGCTATTATTGATTACTTTAGGAGCAGAGTTTTAGTGTATACCCTGGATGGGAATTGTTTTTGCTTTGTGGGAGATCGGTGTGATTCTCTCATTCTTGCCTTTTATGGTGTTAGAGGTTGGGATCGACAAGGGTTTTTCTTGGCTAGCCTTTCATTGATGATGATGTTAAGTTTTGTGGGGTTGATTATCCAGTGATTGTGCGTAATTTTTTGGATGTGTTTCTGGAGGACTTGACTGAGTTGCCTCCACACCGAGAGGTAAAGTTTGCTATTGATTTAATGCCTGGTACTGCATCAATCTCTGTGGCACCATATTGTATGGCACCGATTGAATTAGAAGAATTAAAGAAGCAGTTTGATGATTTGAGAGTGAATGTGACGGCCCCAATTTTTCAAGCCAGTGTTTCTTGTGACGAACCGAAGATTGACCTGATAACGAATCCAAATGCGGAAGCGAAAACAGAAAATAAGACCCTAGAGATACAATGCAACTCTAAAATGCCGGAGTGACCGTCTATGAGGCCACGGATCTCAACGAAAACAATACGGAAATGAATGATCAGAAAAAGACCGAACAGGCCCCCAAGGGAAAAATAGTCTTTTCATATGGAAGCAACATCCTTGGGAATGTACATCATTCCTAAGACACATATGTGACTTCCCATGAAGTCACGGGACTCAAAAGAAAGTAGCGGAAACAAATTAAAAGAAAACCGAACAAATTTAGCCCCAAAGGCTAAATGGTCATTTTTAAAAATATAGATTCGGGTGCTACCAAGCACACTAATGGAAAGACAATGAAAGATTAATCAAGATGGACTCAAGAATCACATGATTCAGAGTCCGAACAAAGGAGAAACAGTAAAATAACGAAAAACGGACATACAAAGTAAAAAGGGTAAATTGGTCTTTATCCATGAAGATTCGGGTGTAACCGAGCCCACCGTTGGAAATACAGCAAAAAAATAGTCAATTTCAAAAAAAAAATTACTCGATTTGGAGTCCAGACGAAAGAGAAAGGTCAAAACAAAAAGAAGGTCATGACAGCTATAGTGCTGCCGACCCACTGCTGCTGCAACTGAAAGTAAAAACGGGCATCTAAACGGACTTTTTTTGGAAAAACTCAAAGAAGAAACCCCCCCTAAAATCAAGTTTTCTACCCGGCATCATGAACGGAAACAAAAAAAAAAATGCATTGTAAAATGCCCAGAATGCCCCCAAGAAAATCAGGTTAAGAGGGTAAAAATCCTTCCGAGCTGCTGCCCAAGGAAAGGAAATGGGGTTTCGGGAGGTTTTTAAATTGCCTAAATTGAAAACACAACCTTAAAAAACACCCACAAGACCCCTGGAATTTTCGGATCGGTCGGCACACTTTTCAAAAAAAAGTTGATGAATAGTACCAAGCACACTTGTATTAAAAATCAGCAAAAACTTGGCAGAAAGGATTTTTCGGGAAAAAATGGGTTTTTGAGAGCCAATATGACGTTTTCTGGAAAAACACAAAGAAGAAACCCCTCCAAAATCGAGTTTTCTACCCAACAATATGGGAGAAAATTAAACAAACATAATGTGAAATACCCGAAATTCCCCTGGAACAGAATAGGGTAAAAACTCAAAAAAATGTAACCTTAAGTTTTTGTTTCATCAAGAAGGGTATTGTGTGCCAAAGTGAACATGCAAGCATATGTAATATGATAAAGTAGACGTACTACAATGGCTTACAGCCTCATGACATGTTGTATGTAAAATATGACCCTTCAATGCATGAAATCTCCTAACTTCCATAAGCAATAATGAAGTTAAAAATTTGCATACATATCACATAAAGTGTCTTTGGTCCTTGGCCTCATTACATATAAGTCAAATACATTGCATAGAGTGTACTTATGTACACATTACATTAATGAAATCAAATATACACATTTTGACCTAAATGACTACAAGTGGCATTTCAAGCCAACCTTTACAAGAATTAAAACCTTCAAGTCTACAATCATCCAAGCAATGATGAACATCACGAACCAAGTCTTCGTACCTGAACAAATCCCCCAGTAACTTCGGGGTGAGTAAACAAGTTTACTCGTAGGGAATGAGCATGCATAGACTCGATTTCTTTAGAGAATTTTACATTAATTTGAAACAATTCAAAAGGGTCATGCCACCTAACATCTATGTCAAGGTGAGACTCAGGGAGCATCCTAAACTACTCATACAATTGAAATGAACTATGGCATACAAGTATACATGCTCAAATATACTAAAAAATGTTAAAACATGTTATACGACATTCAAACATACATTTTCAAGTATACTAAACCATATTAAAACAAGTTATGCACCGTCCAAGCATATCTACTCAAGCATACATTTAATATGCAAAACTCATAAATCAAGTACACAAACACAAGTATACTAAACTAAAAGGATTGCACATGTAACAAGTATACATAGCACAAGTATACTAAATGAAATTTAAACTCATTGAGCAAGTATACAAGTTCAAGTATACCAAATAGGATTCAAATATCCAAGTAAGCATAAATTCTCAAGCTACAAGTAATCCATGATTAACAACTTGAAATTAAATGCGAAAACAAATAGTGGAAAGACTAGGATATGCGGTCGCTAGACCAAGCAAGTATTTTCGGGTAATTACAACTCACAAAGTACTACCTAGTGCGCACTTATGACTTAGAAGACTTTTGTCTCCGTACTAGAGTCAAACCCTAGCATTCACATAATTTATGTCCTCACAAGCTTTCCAAAATCAATAAGTTCAAAACTTATACAAAATCAAATGCAAGTTACCATATTCTATGCACAAGTAAGGTTGAATCCACACAATTCATGTCCTAGAATTCAAGTTTAAATGGCATATGATAAGTCATATCCTCAATATGCAATTTATACACAAAGCAAAAATATTTTACAATAATTGAGCCACATTACCATCCTAAGCTACAAAAACTAAATAAGCTTCAATTTAGTAACTAGCTTCCAAGGTAAACAATTGTAATATTCTAACAAGTTATATACCTACTGTAATGACCTGGTTGTTGGCCTAAGGATTTTATCTAAAGGTCAATCTTATGTTTTGATGATTACAAACTATTAATGATGTTTATGTACTAATGTTTTCATTGAGTGATATATAGTTGATCAACATTCAATCCTCAATGATGAGCTAGAAGATCCATTCCAAGCATTCCAAAGCATTCCAAACATTCAAGCAATGGATTCAAGGAAGCATCAAAGTTGCAAGAAATCAAAGAAAAACTCGGACTTCAAAGATCACACAAAGCATTTCAAAGAAAGAAAGCAAGTCTTCATCAAGCCTAAACGATCATGGTCAAAGAATGAAGAAAAGGGTAGGTAGGATGGTGAGAGCTTAAGATTCAATGTCAACGTATATTTGAATATTTTTTGAAGCTCAAAATTATAGGACCATACATATCATATATCATTCATATGCTCCTATGACCATTAGCAATAGACTAGGAACTTCATTTATATATATTGTCATATGAAATCTTTGCTAAGAAAGAGTTAGTTCAAGCTTGATAAGCTTTGAAAGAACTTATTTTTTAAGCTAGAAATTCTAGGACCATGCAAATTAATCATTATATTTATTTTGGTCTCTAAAAAGAAAGGGAAAATGCATTGAATTAATTTTTCATTTTTAAAGCCTTTGTTGCCAAAATTTGGTAAATTACTCTAGAACACAATGCACTTGAAATTTATCATCTTCATATGTCCCTAGACTCTTAGAAATAGGCCTTGAACTTAATTGAATCATTCATCAAAGTCCTAGGTGCTAGAAAGATGGATATCTCAAAAGAAGCTATTTTCAGCCTAGAAAATTTTAGACCAGCTTGCACTAAAACTGCTATAACTATTTGTGCAGTTGGAATTTTTACACAAGGCTAGTGGCATTGGAAAGCTGACTTCGAGCCCTTGAGTTTGGACTCAAATTTCACCTAAATTGGATTAAAAATGATTGAGATATAAGCTTTACAAAATACCTGATTCTGCTCTGCGAAAATTCTGACCAGGTTGCACTTAAATCGCCATAACTTTTTTATGGTTGGAATTTTTGAGCAAGGCCAGTGGTTTTAGATAGCTGACTTCAAGAAAATAAATTTAGACTCAAATTTCACCTCATTTGGAGTTTCATGGACTGAGTTATGTCCATTTGAAGTCATGCACTTTTTCTGTCCAATTTAGCAGCACCATTCATGAAGCAAGAGCAGCCTCTATAAGAAATAGAACTAGCTCTCTCAAAGAATAGAGAAGGCTCAATGAAAAACTAGAGAAGGCTCTACAAAATTAGAGACGGCTCAAGAAAGTAGAGAAGGCTCAATGAAAAACTAGAGAAGGCTCTACAAAATTAGAGAAGGCTCAGGAAAGTAGAGAAGGCTCTACAAAACTAGAGAAGGCTCTATTTTTCTGTTGAGCCGTCTCCATTTCAGAAAAATAGCCTGCTCCAATTTTTTAATGGAGCCGCCTCCATTTGAAATTGAGCCGCCTCCACTTTTGCAAAGAGCCGGCTCCTTTGACGGTTTTGAATTACAACGGCAATTTTTCTGCATTTATTTCCTCTAACCACTTCTAACAGCTATATTGAGCTATGAATTTCTTTATATATGCAGAGGGCTTGTCTGAAAAGAATATACGATTTTAAGAGACATTATATTACATTGCAAAGAGAGCTTTTATTCTCAATCATCTCTTCATCTCTCTCATTTCACTCTTATTCTATCTTGAGAGATTCCAGTAAAGATTAAAAGGGCTGTTGCTCTTGTTTTAATCTTCATAGAGTTTTTGCTCTATTATACTACTTGAGAGAGCATTCAAGAACATTCATTCAAGTGCATCAAAGAGAGCTTTTGGCTCTACCATTATACAGAACTTTTGTTTTGATTATACTCACTCATAGAGCCTCTGTTCAGACATTGATCTTTATCTCATATACAAGCTTCCATAGTTGAATCAGAGTGAACTTCAGAGAGCATTTAGTGAGCCTTTGCTGAACTTTTGTTCTAGTATTTCATCAGAGCTTTTGTTCTGTATTTTCCTCATCATCTCTCATACATTTCATACTTAGAGTTTGAGCTTCACTTGATTTCATATATACTCTATTGTGAGGTTTGATTTGTATCAGTTCTTGAGAGGATATCTTGTACTACAAATTCTATC